AGTTCTCAGTAATTGGAATAAAACTCATCTCCAAATAATCTTTCTCATCCTCTGTGCAGCCACTGTGGCACATTGCAACAATAGCCTTCAAGGGATCCTGCAAACGATATGTGCTAGGTGTCCTTTGACAATCTGGGGCCTGGTCAAAGTATAGCCAATCAGGAAGAGTATTGGCTTGAGGATGCATGGGCCCTGCAGGGACACTACATAAACACTGCATAGATTAGACTCTAAACACTATATAGTCTCCTACAGGTTAGGGGCAGTATGAAGTGTACAATTGCCTGAGCTCCCTTTAAAGATGCCTAGACAAGGAACTTCTTGGGTGGCCAAATCAGAGCCTACTCTTTGATAGTAGGAGCTTTACTTCCTTGCCTTTATATCTTTTACATTCTCGACGTGATATTTTATGAATAAATTTTCTTGCACCCTGTCTCTTCCACCCAAGTTTCATTCTGTATCAGTGTGACATACAAACCTGGTGTTTAAGCAACAACCCAAGGAAGTCTTTATCATGCAAGGCCCATTTAGCCATGTTTTTGTGGCTTGTGGAACACACTATTTCAGGTGTGTTCTGAGGTTTATAAGGGTTACTTCAATGTTTGGCTAATTGATGTCTACTTATGCAACTTGAAGATAAGATTCCCAGTGCATTTTTTAAAAATTTCAGAACAACTTTTAATCTTGTTGGTTATTGGAGTGCTGGGACATTTGATGTCTACTACATCAACTTGAAGATAAGATTTATTACCCAATAAACTACTGAAATTTCATGAAATACAAGACCTGTAAATTTATAAAAGGATGACTAATCAGCACTCAATAAATTTTAGCATAACTGATACAACATCCAAATAAAAGGAGAAACAAATAAAAGGGAACACAAATTAACTTTTCATGAAAACATTCTCTGAGTTGGTAAACCATCTGACAATTTAACAAAAATAAGGGTGACACACTTGGTTACTTGTAATATTTCTTATGACTATGTCAGTGCAAATACTTATTTTACTAGATGAAATTGTATGATATGGCTTTGTTTCTTGTGTATCACTCAACATTATTTTATAAAAATGAACACTGCCAGTGTGTCTGTGTGTAGTTACCAAAATCCATCTTTTCTGTCTCGGTTTTTCCAATGCCTCCTTCACATCTTTTTTCTGTAGGCTGTAAATCAGAGGAGTCAGTGTAGGAATCACAAGAATATAAAACAGTCAGGTCATTTTATCTTGATCTAGGGAGTAAGAAGAACTTGGCCTGAGATTCATAATAAGCAGCATTCCTTGGAAAATGGCAACTGCAGTTAAGTGGAAAGCATGGTAAAGAAAGCTTTGAATTTTCCCTCAGCAGAGCGGATCTTCAAGTCTGATAAGATGATGTTGAATAGGAGACCCAGTTCAATGAACCCAAAAATGGTGAATAACATCAGCTTGTTGATTTGTATGTCAGAACAGGAAAGGAGAAAAAGCAGAGGTAAATTGCACAAGAAATGATTAATCTCATTAGACCCACAGAAACATAAGTGTAATGCCAGAATTGTATATACTGAAGCATCTACAATTGCCAATAGGTAAACCCCAGCCATGAGCCAGGAGAACAGCCTGCTGGACATGTGGGCCGTGTACAGCAAGCAGTTGCTTATGGCTTTATACTGGTCAAAGGCCATCACTGCCAGCAATATGCACTCAGCATCTGAAAAGACACAGAAGGTCAGAAACTGCAGCACAGCCAAAAAAAGAAATTGATTTATTCTTAGCTATGCGATCCACCAACACATTGGGCCCAACTGCTGAGGAATAGCAGAGGTCACAGATTGAAAGGTGGCTGAAGAAAAAGTACATTGTAGTGTGAAGCTGGAAATCCACCCTAATTAAAATTATCATTCCAAGATTTGCAAGCAGATGAATGACATAAACAAAAAGAAAAACACTAAATAGAATCAACATCTCAGGATTATTGGTGACTCCCATAAAAATGAATTCAGTCAATGAGGAACAATTTTTTTGTCCATTATTCCTTTTTTTCCTAAAACTATATAAAAATGATAGATTCTAGAACATGTCAAATATCTCCCTACATTCACAATATATTCGTAAGACAAAATATACTGCTTCTGCATTTTTTCTTTTTCCTTCAAAAGATGCCTATTCATGAACCTTACTTTCAAGGGGGAGGGAGGAATGTCTGGAGGGGAATGGGAAATAAAAGGAATCAAAATGTGCGATGTACATATATCAGCTCTCTAAGAAACATGTCATAATTGTGTATTAGCAAACAGGCACTAACAAATATTTTTTTAGATTAGAAAATAATTATTATATCTAGTTGACAATGATAGCAAAATATCAGAAAGTACCACTGAAGAACATTTAAATACAAATGTCGTGGAAAATGTGGCTTTCTACAAGGTCATAACTTTATCTTCATTATTTATTTTAGGAAGTAATGTTTTATGATACTGAAATCTCAGTATATTTTTGAAATAGTATGAACCCAGCACTCACCATAGAGATTCCTCCCAGATTTTATATGTGCTGTTCCTCAGAAATCGTGGTTTATTGGAAAAACATTTTAACTCTAGAAACACAGAGGTATCACTGAGTAGTAATAAAATTAGTATTTTGCTATTGCTTCTCTATCTGTTGTTAGTCTTGGATGAAATACAAGTTTAGTATTGTTTTAAATAGAAATTAGTTGATTCTGGCATAATGCTCATTGCATATTTGATCTGGAGACAAAGCGTGAGACTCTGGATCATTCAAAAGAAAGTGGTATAAGTGGTAGATGCACCATAATTTAAAACATGTACTCATATCATACCCATTTTAAATGGACTTTCTTATTTAAAAAAGGAAAACAAGACTGAAAGAATGAATACATCAAAGCAGCATGAGATTCCCTTATTTATAGATGTGTACACTTACATATATTTATATACATGGCCCTGTATGACGTTTTATTGATGTAGAAGAGCTGGAGGGTAGATATTTCTGGTGATCTTATTTTTATTCTAATAAAATATATTGTCTGACTTGTGTGAAATTGAAATTGTAGCCATTTTGTAATGTGGTACCTAAAAATTTTTAATGACAAAAACAAACATAAAAATTCTTAAATCCATGTGTATACATGGGCAATGATAAAATGAGTAAATCTCTAGATGAGAGCCTAGATGAAATTAGAGTAACTACAGTATTATTTTGTTGATACTAATAAGTATAATAGAGTCTTCCAGTTCACAGAAAAAGTATCATTTTTTGACATTATGATGCAGAATTTATTAAAATAATTGATTTACAGACGTTTCATTTCTTTCCTGAAAAAAATAAAGTTAAGACATTTTTTTAACCTTCTGTATTTAGTTTGGAATCACAGGAACTTACTGGCAATGAGAAGTTCTTAAATAGATGAACACTGAACAGATAGCATTTTTTATTTTTTTATTTAAAGAGAAACAAAACAAAACAGTAAAAGGGTACAAGTAATACAGAATTTTTAAAAAAATAAACAGTAAGAAATCACTAGTTAACAGATTACATATTGTCATCTTAGAAATAGATGTTCAAATTACAAAATTAAAGCATACAAAGTGGACATTCAAACAGTGAGATTGCAAACAGTTCAGTCCAACAAAAACTTAATATTATGGTTTTCTATCTTACACACTTAAATATACATGCAGTTATATCCTTTAGAGCACTTAGTTTTCCTCTATTTTTTACAATAACAATTACACATTTTGGATTTTATTACTCCCACAGTTCTTATTACCTTTTTTGGAAGGTAATAAAACCAAATGTGACAAAATAAAACAGAGTCAGTTAAAACAAAAGGATGGACACAGTACATGATGGAAAAATAGAATACAAGGTGATCAACAATGGTTACCATAATGTTTCTTGCTATCTTAAAAAGAATTGCCTATATCATCAGGTGTAATAAAATTGAACAAAACAGTACAGAACAAAACCAATAAAACCTAAACATTGGAGACCTTACAGGACTTCAAAAGAAGATAATAGTCAAACCAAAAATGTGCATCATAGTAAATCTTATTGTCTTCAAAATGGTTGCCTATACCCTCAAACTTGATACTATCAAACAAAAAGAATAGAGTAAAATCAATCAAAAAAGATGATGAGAGCAATACAGGGGTTCAAATCAAGTTAATAGGAAAACAAAAAAGTTACTATTATATATCCTGCTTTTTAAATTTATTTTTCCCTTAATTAAAAAATAATAAAAAATTTATTTTTAAAATAAGGGAAAAAAGGAGAGATTGAGATAAAAGAGGACATAACAACATAACAACACAGGTCAGAACAGAACAATTTAAGCTACATGGTGTTTTACCACCAGGTAACTTGACATAATAGTAGTTACCATCATGTTTCTTTCCTTGATATTTGAGTACAAATTCGTATACTATAGCATCAAACATATCAAGCCAGTATGAAACCATTTAAGAAAATGAAAGTATTACATGGTATTTAGAACCAGCTAACAGAAAATGGACAATGGTTTCTATATTATCTCTTTGCCTATAATAATTTTCTTTATACTATCACTTATAATAAAATCCAATAAGATACAACATGATAAAACCAATGGAGACAGAAGAACAAAAGCTTGATGGGGCTTCAAAACAAACTGATATTAAATCAGCACTAGCTATTATAATGTCTTGTTTTCTTCAACATAACTGTTCATATTATGGGCCACATTGCAGACCCCAATAACATCTCACTGGGCACACTTATCAGTGAAAGAGGGTGAGTGACAGGAACCTGTTTGCAAATCACCAACATGATGCTCATTCTATTCTGCCTCAGTTTAGAAGGAAGACAATGTCCAATAATTCCTGTTCTCACACTTGTAAAGGCATACTCATGAATCTATAGTGGGAAATATCTCTAAGGTTGGGTGGGCAAGAACCAATGACAAAGTGTTTAGATTTTATTCTCAGAATTTCCAAACTGTTCTGTATGGAAAACAGAATGTTACCTAGAACACCGTGCAGTGCTGATTGCTTTTCTCACAGCCCCCTTCACATCTTTATTTCTTAAACTGTAAATCAGAGGGTTCAGCATAGGGATGACAACTGTATAGAATAAGGAGGCCATTTTGTCTGTGTCCATGGAGTAAATGGAGCTGGGTCGGAAATACATGAACAGGAGGGTACCATGAAACATGGCCACGGCTGACAGGTGGGCAACACAGGTGGAGAAGGCTTTGCGTCTGCCCTCAGCTGAGTTCATCCTAAAGATGGTGATAATGATGGAGCTGTAGGAGAGGAGGACAGCGCCAACACTGCTTCCCACGACACAGCCAATGAAAGTGAACATCACAACCTCATTTATGTATGTGTCTGAGCAAGACAAGGCCAGCAAGGGTGGGATATCACAGAAAAAGTGATTGATGACATTTGAGGTGCAGAAGACCAATCGAAATGTGCAGCTTGTGTGGATGGCTGAGTCTACCAAGCCTACGATATAAACACAGGACACCAGCTGGCTACAGACCCTCCTGGACATTGTGATTGTATAAAGGAGTGGATTGCAAATGGCAACGTAACGGTCATAGGCCATAACAGCCAACAAGAGACATTCCACATCTGCAAAGGCTCCAAAAAAATACATTTGTATGGCACATAAATTGTATGAAATCCTCTTTTGCTCAGATAGGAAATCAGCCAGCATCTTGGGAGATACAGTTGAGGAATAGCAGACATCACAGAAAGACAGATTTCCCAGGAAATAATACATGGGGGTGTGAAGTGTGGGATCTGTTTTGATGAGAAGGATCATGCCTAGGTTGCCAACCAAAGTTATGCCATAAACAAGAAGGAAGAATACAAAGAGGCCCTGTTGAATATCTTTTCTACTGGAGAGGCCTAGGAATACAAATTCAGCAAGCACAGTGCAGTTCTCCTCTGCCATCTCTCAGATCTGGAGGATCCTGGATGTGAAAATGGAAATGAAAGTAAGTTTTCATACTCTGACTATATCTATATTTTATGATGGCTTATCCTTTAGTTCTATAATCAAGAATAAGTAACATAACATTTGTTTAAAAATATAGTCTCTTATAGGAAATAGGTCCATATCCATGTTAATAAACATATTTACATTCTTCTGTATAGCTGATGTAGCACACATTCATCCAAAGTAAGTCATGCTGTCTCCATGTACATCTGTGTAGCCACGGTGACACATTCCTGAGACTCTCCCTTCTGGGAGACTGAGGTGAAAGCATAATAACTTCAAGTCTAACTTAGTGAATTAGTGATATCCTTACTCAAGGTAAAAAAGAGAGAGAGAGAGAGAGAGAGAGAGAGAGAGAGAGAGAGAGAGAGAGAGAACTCTGGTGAAGATCAGTGGAAAAAATTTGGATTTAATAATCAGAAGAGAGAGGGAGAGAGAGAAACAGAGAGAGAAAGAGAGACACAGAGAGAGAGACAGAGAGAGAGAAAAAACTAGTACTCAGGCTAATTTTTATTTATTTCTTAAAGATGAAGAAAGTTATCTCTTCAAAAGTGAAGGAAACAGTTGTAACAATTATTTATTCCAGATTACATATCTTTTGATAAGACTATCATTGTCCACTTTGTGGAAATATCATCTTGCCCTATAATACCAAGGTATGACTAATTGAGAAGTACTAGTAATGAATATATCTTATTTTCTTTCTCTTAATATCTAAAATCATGGAGCAAGTAGAGCTAAGGCAGAGCTATTTTTTGGCTGATGTACTGTCATACTTTCCTATTAAACGTTCAGGTCCTGTCTAGCTTCAGCAAGTAACTGCATGTCACTGTCACTGAGAAAACAGGACCAGATGGATTAAACAGTTTACTGTGTGCTCTACAAATGGATGGGAAATCTCCATGAGCCATCACTCTATGAAGACAGACATGAGTAAGTCAGAGTACTTCTACTCTTCCATCCCCCCAAGGTTTTTTTTTTAGGTTTTTTGAGACAGGGTCACACTTGAACAAGATTATGTTGTCTAAGCTGATCTCTAACTCATGATGATCTTTCTGCCTCATCCTCCCAAGTGCAGTGATTATAGCCATGTGTCACCATGCCTCTTTATCCCCTTGTAAAGCTGTTATCAAGATGTTATTCTCTGTTTTAAACCAAACAGAAGAGATATTGGTAACATAGGAGACCCAAATGTAAGAAAAGTTTGTTTACTAATTGACTCCATCTTATCAACTAAAATCCACATGATCTATTCACAACAAATCAGAAATATGCAATACAAAATAAAAATATTGTGCTTTCTTCATCTATGACCTCCAAGAAATTTGTTCCTAAAATATCTTCATTTCTCCAGAGTATGTTATATTGCTTTGCTGTTTACTTTGACTCTTATTTCTATCATATTCCAATAAAATCTGTTGAGTTTTAGGTAAAGACAGTAAATTTTTCCAAAGAGGGGAAATCAGTTCTAGGACTCACCATTGTAGTTTACAAAACAAATCATATAACACATTAATATCATTCATGTCCTCCTTTGGTTTTTGGATAGATGAGAAAGTGAAATTAAATATAATGAACTTTAAAAAGTTATAATAGTAATAAAAATTAATTTGTGAGTCTCAAAATCTTGCTGTAAACTCATTTTAATGTATGTAGAAAAATCTTTTAATGATTGAATTATAACATGATTACATACTTTAAATGTATCAAAATATTGGTAATATATTAAAAATAATATATGATGTTTTCTCACTTTCATCATCATATTAATATATACTGTTTTCCTGATGTCTGTGGATAGCTATTGAAATGTTAATATGTAAAGAAATTAAAATTTATGTTTGCATTATCTCATAGTATCATTTGGTTTTTATAACACACTTGATTGAAAAAAATAACTAAAAAGTGCACAAGATCAGTCAAAAAACTACCAGAAAACATCAGTACATAACCCAGTGCTCCTGATCTCTTCACTGAATGCAGTTCTGCTTGCCAAGAGATAAGTCTGTCCCCTGCCTACCCTGGGTCAAAACCATTGCTATAACTCCTCTCTGCATGTCAGACACTTGGTCTGTCAACAATAAGTGGCAGATATTTTAACATCTGGTGTGCCTCACAAATAGGGTGTTGAGAAAAGAAATGTATATCTCTTAAAAATATTTTCTTAAAACCATCTAGCATAATGCATAATCTTATGTCATATTAGCCAAAAGAAGTAACACTAATCAACAGGCATTTTTACTTCCAGTTCACCTGTCTATAAGTGAACAATTTACTTGTAATGATGTAAAGTGAAAACACACACATGCACAAATATGGTTCATGAAAATCACTGACGAAAGCCTCTGTGATTTCAGCAAAATCATACCTTATTTCATATACTAGAGATAACTAGGCTTTGTTATCTATACTACCACATTTCTAATTTCTAAACAAAACTGAAGTCAGAGCAAAGTTTTGCAAACATTATAACCAGTGATGGTATATTTTTCTATTTATGTACATTAATTTACTCAATCTCTTACACTCACAGATATTTGTACTCTAATTTTTCTTATCAAAAAATGTCTCTCATAAGTAAACTTATACATCCAAAGTTATATTATCTACAAGTGTTTCTTTGAAGTCAATTCTAAGAAATAGAATAGTAAGTATGCATACTAGATTTGATTGAAAAATTTGATCAGTTTTAGCCTCCTTATGTTTTTATTTATTATCATATATTGTCATATATTTTACACACTATCAGCTATGTCCCTCATTGTCCCTAGCAACCTCTTAATTATTTGACAAAAATTCTAAAACTTTGAAGAGGAAAGTTAATTTCTAGATCTATGTAGTTGCTGTTTGAATGAATCCATAATTGCTCAGAGTAGATTCTACTGTCAAGTGCAAAGAAACAGTTTTGTCTTTAAAACAACTCGTTACTTTAATGTGCCATTTATTACATCTTCTCACAGGATGTAATAAATGGCACATTAAAGTAATGTTTGAATGTTGACTAAATTACTGAACTACCGTATCCTCGGAGGTCTGTCAGGGCTGCTTGTGAACCAGTGCTGAATCCCAACCATGAACAAAAGCAGAGGACAGCAGCAGGAAGGGCTGCAAGGGGCAGCTCATTGTTTTATGTACGTGAACTTGGCGATCTCACATTGTTAATACAGATGTAAGGAGAAAGGGATGTGGAGGGCGGCTGGCTCCCTCAGATCCAGGAAGCCAGTGGAAAAATGACATCATCATCCCTGAGGATTGGGTGGTGCGATACTCATGGGGCTTACTCTATTCTGGTGCTTTTTGAGAGGTGCTTCATAATCCAAAGGTTTCTGTAGTCTACTGAGAAGTATAAATTACTCTGTGATGATCATATTTCTTCTGTTGATAATTTTAAAAATGTAAAACAATCATGAACATTGTTTCTATATCGCGAGACTTAATTTGTCACAAATCCTACTGATGAAAGTATGCAAAAAATACAGTAATTGAGAGTGAGAAATATACAAGTTTGTACACGCTGATACTTCAGGTAACCTTGTGTTTCTACTGAAGTAAGTTGTGGACCTAACCATCATAGATATTGTGAATATTTTTGTTTGTCTTGTTTGTTGTTATGAGGCTTCCTCTATTTCCTACAAATGTAGAGTACAAATTCAATGAAATTATATGACCTTAGTGTATTTTTAGTTTTTTGTAAAAAATATTTTTTTCTGACTATTTGCATGACTCTTGAAGTTTCATTGTCATTTTTCTGTATGAACTTTAAGTACCAATTGTACTCCTCTGGGAAATATCGTGGAGGCAAATCTCAAACTTAAGTAATTGGCACTAAATTTCCATGGACACAAGAAAGTAAAATTTTCTGTCACCCAAGAGCTTCATCAAAACTCTGTGTATTTTTGGAGAAGGTGGGTTTTTTACTTGGGTTTTTTTTCTTTTCCTCAAAGACATTTCCATCTTCAGGGATACCTCCTTTCCTCACACTACACTTTCCACCCATGATAAAACTTTAGCTCCACAAACACAGCCACATCCCCAGGCCATGTGTACATCAACCTCTAGCCTCCATTAATACTGGAGCAGGGGTAGCCATACATGCTGGAAAATGTATTCATCTAAATTCATCCCTAAAGAGTTTTGTTTGTTGTTATGTGTTTCAACACAGAGAGACTTTGCAAACTTAAAAGAGTGAAAAGATTGAAGGTGGATATTAAAACATTTAGGAGAAACAATTAAGGAAATCACAAAACACAAACATCTGTATCTAAATGACTTCTGGTGTCACTAGTACCCTTAACACAATATCATGGGCAACTCTCTATTTTAAAATCTCTCCATCAGAAGATGGTAGTCTGGTCATGAGTCATGGACTAGTATGAAATAAATTCAGTGCATGATCCTAATACAGAAGAAAACCAGGTTCACATATTGCTCCACTGGTAAAATCAAGAAATGACTGTGGGTACAAATGTCTATCTTGTATTAGCAAAGCATCACATTTTGGCTGACATAAAGGATATTCTATGAGAATTTTGTGCTTTACTAATATTACAAGTAGTTATAGGAGCTATTCTATTTAGGTAAGAATGAAATATTTTAGTTGCCTACAATCTAATACCCACAATGCTTGCTTTTAGAAAACTATCAAATTAGTGTTACACTTTTAAAGAGTAACAAATGAAATTTAAGAAATGAAAACATTCATGCAATTCAAATCTGGACCAAAAAATAACAGAAGCATTATTTCAGAGGTTAAGTGTGTGCCCTAACATAAATCAATATCCAAGATAGGTTATATATGTATTAGAAATGAAATTGTTTACAGTGGTTCTTCAGCTCGTGAACATTTCTGTTTGCAGACATGGGCTTAAAAAAACATCTGATAAAATTTGCTTCTGTTCGCAAATTCTTCATTGCCTGACAAATGCAACTACAGCATCTTCCTTACACAAACACCC